AAGAGACAGGGATGGGGATGCGGGAGGGGGAGGGGGTGGGTGAAGACGAGGGGATCGCATTACTTCCTCTGCGGTCTATTCAATCCAAGCAAGGTTGAAATGAAAGGGCAACATCGTTGATCTGTACAGTCGATCCGGAGAACAGATTGTTTTATCGTAGACGTTACAGCAGACGAAGTTCAGAGCTGAACTGCAAATTTGGAAAGGAGTAGACCTAAAGACACTGCTGAGTGGTTTCGATGTTCTAGTTCCTACAGCTGTATCATCAGCCTGTATGTTATTTCTTTGGTCTTTCTCTTCGCAGCTCAGTGGTCATTGGTCCCCCCGGCTTGTGTGGCATGTACAGGACAGGTAAGTCGAGCTAACTGTTCTGATGGATTTTTTCACATTGAACCTGGCAGCGTAAGGGGGTTTCACGTTGAACCTGGCAGAGTAAGGGGGTGGGTTCTTGTGCTCAGCTGCTTGTTTCAAACCATACACACACAACCGGTATGTAGTATATAGCACAAACACACAGTGATTGTCGGAGACCAAGATGGGAATCAGTTTTGATGAGGTCCGGCGGCAGTCGAGATTGGGATTCAGTTTTCAGGAGAGATTGTCTGTGTATGGTGATTCATTGGTGAAGTGTAATTCGAAATAGATACACAGAATTAGGAGGGAGAGGTGGGGCCAGGGAAATCATCAGAACACTTGCTTTCTGAAGCAGAATCATGTTGGCAATACACATGTGAATCGGTATGATGAAGCGCGGCTTGAAATGGGTACATATGGGGAGAGGACGGCGATGCGTCAGGTTTGTTCATGGAATGTGCATGCATTGCGCACTTCCGTACGAGTAAATGAGTGGAAGCTCTGTAGCTTCGACTACGGGTGCGGGAGAGATGTCGCATGTGTGTGTATGGAACAGTCGGTCGGAGCGTATGGAACAGTCGGTCGGAGCAGATTCCAACTGGCTGGCATGCCTGAATGGTGGTGGGTAGGGAGGGGAATGACAACTGTTATTTGTGTCTCTGGTCTTTAGCCCGAACACCCAAATTCGGGATCGCACAAACTTTGCAGAGCTAGTTTGGCTGACAACCCGTGCAAAAATCGTGTCACAAGGAGTTGTATGGGCACTCTTTGACCAGGACTCGGCATAGAGTTCGGGTTTGGCATAGAGAGACACAGAACTCTGCATATAGAGTTCTTGTTCGGCATATAGAGAAAGAGGGAGAGAAAGAGGGAGAGGAAAGAGAGCGACAGAGAGGGAATGAAAGAGGAGGGGGAGAAAGAGAGGAGGAGAGAGTATGGGAGAGATAGGGAGAGAAAGCGGCGGGAGAGAAAGTGGGAGAGAAAGCGGGAGGGAGAGAAAGTGGGAGAAAGAGGGAAAGAAAGAGGGAGTTCTTGTTCAGCATATAGAGAACGAGAGAGAAAGAGGGAGAGGAAAGAGAGTGACAGAGAGGGGATGAAAGAGGGAGAGAAAGAGAGAAGAGGGAGAGAGCACGGGAGAGAGAGGGAATGGGGAGAGAAAGCGGGAGGGAGCGGGATAGAAAGAGAGAAGAGGGAGAGAAAGCGGGAGAGAGGGAGAGAAAGAGAAAGAGGGTGAGCTGGAGGGAGAGGAGGGAGAGAAAGAGGGAGGGATGAAGGGAGAGGAGGAGGGCGAAAGGAGAGGGAGAGGGAGGGAGAGGAAGAGGAAGGGTAGGAGAGGTAAACTGGTGAGGTAAACTGGTGAGGGGAGGGGTGAAATGGGGGAAGAGAGTACATGGCATCAATTGGATGACATGCTTGGTGGTGCGAAGGATTGTGCCGACCTATCGTGTGTGCTTACACAATAGCTGAGAGGAGACGGAAGAGTGTACAATAGGCCATATGGACCCAAGTGGATCGTCAGTTCTTTCTTTCCTCTTTTCAATGCCTGGTGCAAATACTGGTCGCTGGAGGATCTGCCAGATTCTGCCTCTTCTTTGCTAATGAACGCTGACAGCTTGATGTTCTTATCTAATTTGCTGACAGCTTTTCCATCTTCTTGCACGAGATGGAGTGGTGACCGGCTGCTCATTTTCTCCCAAGCGATCTTCTCCCAGAGTTATCGAGGGTTTGCAAAACAGGGGTCCTGAAATGATGAGGTTTCCGTTCTTGTCCGGGACTTCGCAGGGATCCATCCAGGCTGCTCCAGCTGCTTCAGAGTTGGAAGTTTTTTTTTTTTTTTTTCTTGGCAGAATTTTCTTGAACAGGTTTTACAGGTATGAGAAATATGTGGTTCCTTGTCTGAAGGAAATGTCATATCCATGTGCTATTTTAGTATTTTTATCATTGATTGCTTTGGATTGGCAGAAATTATGTTTCCGTACTCTGCAGTCGTTAAATGTTGGAGTTTGTTTCACTTGTGGTTGGTTGCCTTCAGTTCTCGCTGAGTGCCGGAAAGCGGATTCCGATTAGGGGTTGGGAACATGGGATTGTTTTTTGGTTTATTATTTTTTTTGGACGGGGGTGGAGGGGGTGCGCTGGGGGGGATATGTGTGTGGGGAGAACTATCACCTGAGTCCAACGTGGTGTTACATTGTTTACACACACTGTTTGTCGCTTTGCCATCTCTCTTCTCTTATATATATCTTAAAGGAAAAAGTGGTCCTCGCTTTACGCTCCCCCCGGTCCCAGGAGAAACCAGGCATGGAGTTCCATGGTCGTCGGCGGAGGGTACCAGGGCGGGGTTCGGCTCAAAGGGGGAGCGACAGGCGCAGACCGGCGGCTGTACGCGTGCGGGGCGGTGAAGCTGCGCCTTCCATCGCTGGGGTTGTGATGGCGGCTGCATGCGTGCGGGGCGGTGAAGCTGCGCCTTCCATCGCTGGGGGCGTGGTGGCGGCTGCATGCGTGCGGGGCGGTGAAGCTGCGCCTTCCATCGCTGGGGTCGTGGTGACGGCTACATGCGTGTGGGGCAGTGAAGCTGCGCCTTCAATTGCTGGAGTCGTGGTGGCGGCTGCATGCGTGCGGGGGCTGCAGGAAGGTGAAGTGGCTGGGTGGACCAGCGAAAAGCGCTTGGAGAAAGTGCCTGGTGCTCATATGTCGTACAGATGGTGGGAGTGGACAGTGATTGCGTGGCGCAAGTCTCGTGCTCTGCGAGTCTGGGCAACTGTGCACGTGTGTTGACATTTCTGCATCTGGAGCTGTGTAACACAGACCGAAAAGACAAAAAATATGGCGGTGTATCTTTCCATGTTAGTGGAAAGATAAGCCGCCATATTTTTTGTTTTGTGTGCACATGGGGAGTAGTCGAGCAGGGCTGCATGATCGTATTTATCGTCTTTTCTGCATCTGGAAAGTAGTGGACCGGGCCTCTACTCACCAAATGTGCAAAATTAAGCCCTCGCTCCACTACTCTCCACATCCACAAAAGACAAAAATATGGTGGTGCATATGTCCATGCTCTAGCGGAAGATTCATTCTCAATTTGCACATTGGTGACAATAGTGAGTAGTGGAGTGAGGCCCTTAGACTGAATCCTTGCTACAACATGTCAAAAGACACCGCCATATTTTTTGTCCTTTCTGCATGTGGAGAGTAGTGGAGCAGCGTCTTTTGGTTAGGCTTTTCCAGGAAGCGGGGATTGCCGTTGGTGGGCTGTGTTGTTTCTTTTTTTTCCCCTGAATTCGGATCATTTCTCGATGCACAGTCCATCGGACCGCACGATAAAGATCTGAAAGCAATTGTTTTATGCTTTTTTTTGTGCGCCCGCATGGGACACAAATGGGCCTGTCCGCTGTGGCCGGCTCTACTTGTTGCTCCAGAAGGACCAAAACTGATGTAGCTGTGCTGCATGACTAGCCCGCCAATTGAGGAGGGAGGGAGGGAGGGGGCTTGCAGGGGAAAGGAAGAGATCGCAGAAAAGATAAAATGGGCAGATAAGTTGAGATAACATTACTTGATCCCGGGATAAGGAAAATCTGCCTGATTCTGCAACAGTGTGACGAAGAGCATTTGCTTATCAAGGACAAGTAGTAGTAGTAGTAGTAGGGAATGAGGTGCAGGGGTAGGACCGGTGCCCTCATCCTACACTCAGTAGGAGGAAGGGAAAATATGTCCTCTTCCCCCTGTGCTTTCTCCTTTCTTCTCTTCTAGCTTCTGATCATGTCATGCAATTAGGATCAAGGATTGTAATGGAGAACAAGAGAGAGAGAGAGAGAGAGAGAGAGAGAGAGAGAGAGAGGGAGAGGGAGAGATTTAAATTAGTTTTTTCTGGTTGTCTGGCAGTAAAACAAGGCAGAGGGGGCTGCTGCTAATCCAGTTGCAATCCATAGAATTTGGTTGTTGAAGGAAAGCTTGTCTGGGTGATCTCTTGACCTGCATCTTTTGCCCTAATCAGACCACATTCAGGTGGGTTTTGCTCTTTCGTTTTTAGGGGAGTACGCTAATATGATATTAATCATATTATGATATTATCATATTATATAGTTTATGTAGTATGTACGCTTTTATTTTTGGGTTGGCGCTTGAGATAACCATGTTGAAGGAACCTAGAAAAACGACTCCGAAACTTTGGGAGGAGTGCTTTTCTTCGCAAAAACAGACAAAAGTGGCACATAACAGGGGGGGTGTATCATGCGAACTCGCTAGGTCGAAAATGTCATACGTAAGCCCTAGTGGAACAACCAATGACATGCTTGTGTAGACAAGCACCATGATCTCTACCAGGACTTGCACTTGGTCAGGTACGTTGTTTGCTGAGTAGTTGAGAATGGAGACAGACAGATTAGTCGTTTGTTGTTTGCTCTTTTGAATGTTTATGAACCTGGATGTTGTCCAGATGCATTGAGAACGTTACGTTGGTACGAATGCATCTCGGTGATGGCAACAGTCAAGATACATTGAGAGTTGTTGTGTATAGTGGAGCAAGGGGCACAGGCTGTCAATTTTGCTGGAATATGGAATAAGATCTCTGACCAAGTTCATTTGGACAAGACCAACACCCCAGAGCATGATGCCTATCTGGACCGCACTAGGGGACAGGTGCATTTGTACTGGGAAGCACAGAGGAACTTTTCAGTTCTGTTTTGTGTATATGGGACATAGTGTTCCTTGGGTGTTGATATATTCGAACTCGTCCGGTTGCATATCCCCATGGATGGCATTGCATGCAATTACCTGCGTATTGCCATTAAAGAGGACCAGGTTCAGAGTGTGTGTGTGCGTGTACATATCAATGATGCGCTAATGCCCGTGTCCACAAATTCAGTCTTTTGCCATCTGCACTTTGAAACTTGTTTTGCCTCGCCCTTCTTCCAATTTATGCATTAAGTGCATATCTGGGTGCCGTTTGCACTCCGAATCATGTTTGGCCTTGCGGGCCCTTGCCCATTGTGTTGAGTGAGATGTGCAGCACAAGTGCTTACCTGAATGCCTGTTGGATTGGCAATGATAGCAGCTTCAAGTGCTGAAAAGTACTAGCAAGATTTGTTGTCTAGAAAACTGGCTGATGTCTTGCCGTTTCATCGATACAGTAGTATGTCGTACACCTTTCACAGCCTATTGCTGGACGATGTTTCATTACGCAGGAATATGTCGTACGCATTTCACAGGCTATCGCGGTATGATGCTTCCTCGACTTTTTTGTCATCCGTGCACTTTGTTTTTTGTTTTCCCTGATATGCCTGCTTTGTGATACAGGGTCTCTCTCTCTCTCTCTCTCTCTCTCTCTCTCTCTCTCTCTCTCTCTCTCTCTCTCTCTCTCTCTCTCTCTCTCTCTCTCTCTCTCTCTCTCTCTCTGCCCTGAAAATTTATATACGTGTACGTCCAGTTATAAAAAAATCATGAAAAAAGTCTTAACAAATAATAAAATTGTTTAGGCCCGGAGAGAAAGTGAAAACAAAACGTAAAAAGTGAAAATAAAACAGTTTGTGAATGGGCGAGCACGTTTTGACACCTCATCTTGGAAGATTTTTCATATTTGTTTAGCTGAGCAAAATGGCTTCAAAATTTATAGGCATGTACCTAGCATCATAGAGTACGCACAAAACAAATTCAGAAAAAAAAATGTTATTTTTAGGTGCGGAAATATTTTTTGGCGGGGGCTTAACCCCTTCAGGTTCGGACCCTGAACAGGGCCCCGAACGCCCGAACGTACGGAGGTCCGCCCAGGGGTCTCCGTACGCTCCGTACGTACGGGCTGGTAACTATGTATATATACGTATATAATATATATATATATATATGATCAAACATATATAAAAGGTTGGCGATGTTCGGGTTCAGCAAAACTCCCGAACGGTCAGCCCCACTTGGGGATGCGTTTGGCTGTTAGGGCCGAACGAGGACCTAAAACAAAAAAAAATTAGAAAATTTTGAAAATCTGCAAAAACTGTATGTTATGCAGAAGAAAAAAAGGAACAACATTTGCCTCACCATTACATATGAAATTATGAATCCCTTAACAAATTTGAAATCAAAATAACATACGAAAAACATAAAATAATAAGAAAAAAGAAAAATAAGAAAAAATGAAAAGAGAATTAAAATTAGCGAGTGGGCTACCATATTTTGTTCTTGGGATAGCCAAGTGCCCTGAAAATTTACAGATGTTTATTTCACATATTACAACTTATAAGAAAAATTAAAAAAAATATAAAATATTTTAGGCTCTAAACTAAATTGAAAACAAAAAGTGAAAACTGAAAAGTGAAAAAACAATGCTGAGTGGTCAAGCATGTTCTGACACTGCTATCTTTGACAGTTTTTTATTATATTTTGGCTTAGCAAAACGCCTTCCAAATTTATATGCATGTAGCGCAAGTTAAAAAAATATTTCAACAAAACAAAATAATTTTAAAGCCTCGGCGGGCGTTGAGCCCGTCAGGTTTGGACCCTGAAAAGGACCCCGAACATCCGAACATTCGGGGTTCAGCCTGGGGCTCCTAGATGTTCGGCCCGGTAACCCCTCAATAAGTATATAAATGTACAGGGTTGCTAGGCCGGACGTACGAAAGCCCCTAAGCTGACCCCAGAACGTTCAGGTGATCGGATCCCCGTAGGGGGCCTGATCCCCACCCTGCAAAAGAATATATTGGCACCTAAATATTATTTATTTTTTTTAATTCTGTTTTGTGAGTTCTTTGTAATGTAAGGTATCTTCCTCTTAATATTGAATGCAAAATTGGATGAGATGGTGGTGTTAAAACTTCTTTGCCCACTCGGTA